CTGATGAAGAAAATGTCCGAAATGCTTAACATGTTAAAGCTAGCTCTGACTTGAATCCATCTGAAGATGATGACGCAACTTTCGGTCCCTGGCAGGAAGTGAAACTGCGGCCCTGCTATTCCGGTGCAGCGCTCTAAACAACTGAGCTACAGAAGCCAGTTGTCGAGCTCTAACCACAAGTTCATGTATATATACTAGGAAACTACCATGTATACAGCATGTTATGGGTAAATCAGTATCAAGATTTTGTGGCATCTCATTCGAATGAATACTATTTCATGGGTATTGCAGATGGAAATTGACGGGTGGAAATTTTTTACATTTACTAGACTTAACCAGGAACAGAAGGGTCCCTAAGTTGCATTTTTCGCTTCTGGAGACGAGTTAAATTACTTTAAAGCCAAATAATATCCGTCATTTTCAAAGATCATTGTTGCCATAGCAACGGCAGTTGTGTAATTTTGTGACAATATTCAAACCATTAGATGTTTGTTTTACATCAGTAAAATACTTTTTGTTCTACAACAAGTAATAATTGCCCAAATATACGGATCTAAATCGTGAATCTTTTGCAATACTAAAAAAGTGTTTATGTATAGGCATAACTGAGTAGCTTTTTCGTGTTTACTGTATTTGTGCTTGGTTGTGTTGCATCTCAACACCAAGATTGAAAAATAATTTTCTTCCTATATATCCTAATAAGATTAGTAATGCTAAATCTCTGCCGAAATATAATGCCCTAGCTGGCCATAGTTTAAGGAAAAACGTATGTAATCCATATGTTGTTGCGCCGATAGTGGGGCATGCGTGCTAGGGTTTCATGATTCAAATTTTAAAGTTGCCATTCTTCAACCTAACAAATTTCTTGCGGGCGATAACCCTACAACATTACCAAAATACGTTAAATTAAATAGAGAGGTTAAGATACCCCGGTTTCGGTGTACGGGTACGGGTAGCACGACTTTGGTTAGCAATATTTTCGATGTCTGTACCTTTATCCCCGAGCCGACGGCGCGAAGCGCCGTGCGAGGGTACTAATTCCCCCCGGCTATTTACACCCGGGGAAACGAAAGCATTAGCCAAGTCTAAAGTTCATCAAATATCGCGGGCGTGGCTCACCAACGAAGTTTCGGTGGGTGGTCATCTTCACTGATCTCAAAAATATGGCGGACTGTCATGAATAGCGGACACTGATTGGTCCAATTTACAGTTTGCATTATAACGACTGCATGACGACAGCGAAACAGCAAACATTTCTTGATTTGATGATTGATAAATTTTTTGCAAATATATCTTATTTTTGCTCGCATTTTTGCAAGATTTTGTAAATTTCAAGAAAGAAAAGACTAAAGAATGGGCTAAAAGAAGGGAGCCGACGTTAACAAAGGTAAGTTTGTTTTAAATATTTATTTTATAATTGTTTTAAAACCCGACGGCCTTTGAGTATATGATAAAGTTCATTTCTTGCAAGTTGTATTTTAGCAAGATTTTGTAAATTTCAAAACCTTTCTGAGAGCCAAAAACGTCTAAAAACGTCTAAAAGAATAGAGCAAAGTCGCCGACGTTAGCGAAGGTATAGTCGTTTTAAATATTGATGTATTTTTTGTCTTATGAATATAATTGATATATTTATAACTGATAGTGGTGGGCGATACGGCGAATATCGAACTAAACCTATCATTGCGTATATAAGTGAAAAAAGACAGCATATAATTTCAGTGTAGTTTTATTAACTACTTTTTCTTTTGTATATTAAAGTATTTAAATAAAGAGGAAAGCAAAGTTATTTTCATGCGAGAATTTGAAATCAGCTTATTTCAAACTCAATGACAATGTTTACCGATAATTCGATAAAAGGCCGTTTAGTTTTGAGAACATTTTAAAACGTTTTGCGAAGCGTTTGTGGTTGAATTTTACATTAAATTGATGCTTATATTACGTATAATAACATACCTGGCATACATATGTTTGGGAAAAGTGATATTTTGGGGGGATTTTTCAATTTTAAAATCAGGTTTAAAACTATTCTTAAAATTATCGTGTTACCATGACAACTACTTTCAATTCTTCATAATATTCAAAAACATAATGTTTTGTCAGTAAGGCGAGGGTTTCTGCATGCATGTATTTTCTAGTTTGTAATTAAGGTGCACATTTTCGCATTATATCATTGTGTGTTGCAAGAAAACAGAAAACAGAAAAAGTATGATCGAATTACAGACATCAGTAAAACACGATGACACTACTCGTACCCGTACACCGAAACCAGGGTATCTTAACTTCTTTATTAACACAGTACCCGTTCGTTAATTAAACGTTTTTCAGCTTATTGACTTTACTTATTTAAAATGTGCTAAATACTTTTAATTTTAAGTCTTAAAGGACATTGGCAACCAAAATTTTTATTGCTTATATCTATTAGGTATGCTTACGGAATACTTAATTTTATATTTTGGCCGGTTTGTCGCATTTAGTTGTTGAGAAAATGTAATAAAAAGTTCAACAGTAGTCCGCCATTTTGAAAATAAACACTTGTGCCACAGCATACATTATCTGACGTCATTAGATGGGTAAACACAATTTCATGACTATAAAACAATACCGAGTATTACCACGCGTAGTGCACTTTGAGCCTAAACGAAGGGCAGAAACGTTTTACCAAGTATGCTCCTTATTTGTAACACTATTTCTGATAGTATATCAGTCCTAGTCCGTGTTAAATAAACGCAGTAATTCGAGTGTAAACAAGGCAAACACTAATGCAATATTTTATGATCAATTACCTGTATTGTAAATTGCGCCATTCCTTGCTTTCCCAGTCGCTCGATATGTTTTTATCTGATAGTGTAGGCTTCTCTTGTTTGATTGCGAAAAGTATTGGCCAGTATAACGCTCAAAACGACATATTTTTGGCTAACACGACACGCACGCAATAGAATTCTCACTTGTAGTTTTGGTGCTACCCATCTAATGACATCACAAAATTTGTTGACCTTCGAAGGTCATTTTTTCCAAGATGGCGGCGACACACAAAGTTTGCATGCATTTTACTCCTAGAGTAAAATGTTCGAGAAGGAAATGATAATATTTTCATAGTTAGGTTGTCAAGTAGGATTGAAATAGCCAATAAAATTTTTCGTTGCCAATGTCCTTTAATGTAAAAACTAGTCAACCGATATCTTTTCGTTGTTTCCCAAATCATTATAGGCCACTTACTAGTTGGTAAAAATACTTCATGTATGTTAACGTTTGGTCATAAGCTGTCTCGGATAGATAGTGCGTATATGTATATATTGCATAAAAAGATACTGACGACTTATGCATGCATGCACAGGGCCGCAGAGAGGGGGGAGCAACGGGGGGAGATTGCCCAGGGCCCTAGTCATTTTTTTGGGTGAAATATTTCCGCGCAATGGGCAAGATATTTGGGTTTTTTTGGCAAAGTACCGAAATTTGGTATGAAAAATTGAGGTAAAGTCGCTGGAAAGCAATTACAACGTACTCGTCCGAAGAAATTTTTCCCTAAAAATTGGGGCGAGGGAGTTGTTGTCCGGAAAAAGTTTTGAAATAGCGGCCCCTAAAAGAATTTGGCCCGGGCCCCCGCCAAGCTCTCGGCGGCATTTTTAGTACAGTTGTAACTTGTATAGTATACTTCTATGCATGCAATCATCAGTTTCGCTTATGAATTATAATTGAATGTATGTATGTAATGCAGCTATAAAAAGTTCCATATTGGATGCATGCAAAGTAACTATAAAGTAACAATTTGTTTAGTACGTTGCCTTTTCCCGTTGGATGAGTGAATGAAACCTTTAATTTAAATTCGAGGTAGCCCTTGCAGGTAAAAACGAAGTTCTACTATTTACGTGCAAACATGTACGAATAGCCGCCAAATGGCGCTTAATCCTGCTGACACGGTACTAATTAAAAAAAATCTGTTAATTAGAAGTCTTAAAAACTAGTCAACCGATACGTCTGCCTCTTCAGCTTTATATGCATGCACACTCACAATAATTTAGACCGTTCTAACGTTAAAATATTTAATAGCATTTAAGTTAAAATTGGGAAAAGTGCAGTTGTTAAAGAACAAAGTTGTGAACATGTATAATCGTAATCATGAACCTTGAGTATATACAAGTAGACATCAATGAAGACTGCACGACGTTAAAAATTTCTATATATCCAAAGCATTATACCTCATTGAACTATGAATAAACTGGAAGGCTAACTCCTATGATGAAGGCCTAAAAAATTCGGTCAAAAGTTTGTTTTTGAGCAAAAATTTGCAAGAAAAACACTTTTCCCATGGAGAATACTACAACGATTGGGAAAGTTATGAGAAATAGAAGTATTTTTAAATTATTAGTTTTGCAAATTGGCGATTGGAATCATCCGACTTTTACGTAAGGTCGCGGAAGACGTGTTTCGAGATGGGAGCTGTCCTATTTCTTTCAACAACCTATCATTTAGGACTTTTCTTCTTTCAAACAGTATTCTTGTTTCCAGGACGTGAAGAGCCTCGTTATATATGTTAGCTCAGGATGTATAACGCGTAATGCCCGTATTGCGATGCGGTTTAGGCTAGACATTTGAGTTTAGGTGGACTCCCTATTTCCAACCGAGCTTCCGGCATGGAAAATGCATACTCATGTTAGTTAGAATTACATGCCTAACATAATCATGACGAAACTACAGAATGCAAAGTTTGACAAAAAGTGCCTGTACAGCAACAACGCACTCCGCATCCATTCTCCGTACTGTGCACAACGTCCTTCACATTCCATCCTTTCTACCATGCCGCGCATGGTTGAGTTTATATAATATCCCACTCAGTTGTCAATCATCAGAGACCACCGCTGGCAATCATAGCTGGGGTATGTTTATATAAGGTGGATAAAGATTATCTCACTACCATTGCAGCAGGTGCGATTTGGTTGATCAGATTCGTTCCTGCAAATCATTTAAAAAATTACGGTTTCGTAAAATTTATTCCTAAAAATATGATTTTACAAGCATTTTGCCTGTTTCTTGCATTCCTTCATCAAGACACCTCCGCATCGACCTCCGAATGCGACTCGTCCAAACAGCTGGTCGTGGCGGTTTTACCGGATAACGAATACTACAAGAATAGTTTTCCCGATATTGAATATTTCATTGAACAAATGGCACAAGGAACGCGCGGTTTGGACCACTTTATTGTTTTGTACTCTGAGGACTGGGACAATGAATTCTACGAGCAAGGCTACGACTCCGTCTATGGAGAAAAGCGCTCAATCTTTGGTTTACCATTTGGTGATAACACATTACGCATTGTTTCCAACTACAACCTAGATCTTTGGGCGAGAGATTTCGGACTCGTGGTTCCTGCAGAACAAGTAAAATTCACATATCTACCGGAATACCTAAAGCCGAAAGATGCGGAATTTTCCGACGCGCAGTTCAATGGATTATTAAAGAATTTGGGTATTAAAGTAACCCACAGTGACATTGTGCTGGATGGCGGGAATGTTGTGGATAACAACTGGGACAAAGCTATCATTTCGGAGAGAATTTTAGAGGAAAATAAAGGGAAAACCAAGCAGGAATTGAAAATTGCATTAGAAAACCTGCTGAATATGAGTATAGCTTTCATTGCAGATCCAGACGATACGACTGGTCATTCTGATGGTATTGTCTCGTTTATCGAGGACGACGTAGTTCTCATCGGCGACTACAACGATCCTGAATACTACACCGATGTCGAGAACTCAATCAAAACCGCCTATCCTGATGTTAAAATCGTCAGACTAGGATGCAAAGTTGCCACATCTAGTGCGACAAGTGATAAGAATTGGCGTGGATTTAGCTCTGCTGTTGGTAGCTATGTGAATATCCTGGTGACCAACAACGCAGCATATGTACCGCAGTTTGGGAAACCAAAGTGCGACAAGAAAGCTCTCGACTTGGTCAAAGCTAATACCGACAAAACAGTTGTACCGATCGACACATCCAAGCTCTCTCACATGGGTGGAAGTGTGCGGTGCATGACGTATCAAGTCGAAACCTGCAATCCAGTTGCCAAGCGCCTGCTAAAAGAAGCCCGTAGAATGATGAATGGTGACTAATCATTGACATGTTAACATTTAAACATTATTTGTATTACCTATACTAACCACGTTTCTATTAAAGTGTATATGACATAAAATTTCTTACTCTTTCTCGACAAGTGGTTTCGTTTGAATTTTTCTAATGTAAATATCTTACCCCTTTTAAAACAAAACCCACCATTGAAATCCTCACAAAATAACCTTTCGAACGGGGGTTCAAGTGCCGTAAAAACATTACACAAACCGAAACAATCATATATTTATACTCACCGCTTGGCCAAACATTCAAACGGGAAAAAAGAGAAAAAGTTGAATATGAGTTGAGTTTGTATTCAAGCGCTTTCGTGTAGAAAGTTTCGTATGAGTACGGCGAGTAGGAATATTTATTTCGAATTTTTCAAGAAATCGGGTTTTTGGCAAGGTATGCATGCGCGTGTATTGCGTAATACTTGGCCGATAAGGAGCTCCTTTAGCCGGAATGACGTCAAACTCACGTGTATAGTTGCACTTTGACCTGTGGAATCCATTTCTGGCATTTGCCAGAAGTCATACCATTAAAACAAGAAACGGAAAAATAAGTTACACTACAGCAAGAGTTCTTTCATTCACGAAAATGAGAAATTTCATGTCATATGTACTTTAAGTACTGTCTAGTGTACAATTAATGCAAATTACATTTTGAGATTACTACATTCTTATATACGTTCTTCTTGATACAGCATGAGTGATATTTTTTAGTTGTCTTTTAAAAGTCAACCTATACTTGAACTTTTATTTTAGCCAGGAAAAAGGAAAATGGGCGGCTCTATTTCGTGTTTGGCTTTGCCGTAATTGACTTATTGATTATTAATTCAGCACTAATGAACCATGTTTGTCCATGCGTTGGCAGCGTTTAAAAAGTGAGCGATGAGAGTGGATGCAATTTGTAGATGGTATATTAGAAGATAAATTTCTATACACTTTTTTGACCTAACCAGGAGCATTTTCGAAAAATGAAACTTCAGGCCCTGTAAGGTTTTTTATTTATACAACAACTCCCACCCACTATGTTACGAAAATCACAATTTTGAATTTTGCGTGAAGAAAATTTTTAACATTCAAACATCACACTATAGCGGCTAGCCTGGTTTGTTGCAAAATATAATACAACGATAACTCCGTTGTATTGTAGCCTATTTTATGAAAATACTCGATGGTTCCCGCAATTTTGGTGCAAAGGAACCTTACTTTTCATGATTACAATATGTGAGATAATTCGAAAACTCCTCATTACACTTGCCTGTAGGCCAAGTGTCTTAAATCCCTCTTTTTTTTTTTTTTTTTCGTGGAGAAATGGAGTTTGCATTAGCTCATCGCAGGCTCAGGGTGCAACGTGTTCCAGTGACATATTCAGTTCAGTTTCAAAATGGCGGCTTTTCACTGAGCGATCTAATATATGTTTCACACAGTTTCGTTGAATTTTCAAAGAATTGTGCCGGTTTCCTATGGATTTTACGTTGTGTCGCACTCTGGCCTTTCTTGCGTGTTGAATTAGTGTGTTTTTCTTTGTGTAACGACTCGAAAACCCCAAAATTTGGATCCAGCGAATTTATACAATATAGTGGAATATAAACAAGGACAAGTTAAAGGTTTGACAGTTTGACTTTTTAATTAACAAGTATAAATATACGTTGTAGGCTCATAAACACATGCGTTGTGCTCTTAATAATATCTTATCTTAATAATAATAATTATAAATTTGCACCTAATTACATTAATTTGCGCCAAATTACTTTCTAATTCATCATATATATTACTATAAAATGTATGTTTTCGATTGTATTCAGCGAGGTGGCGTTGCGTGCTGCGAAGTGAAACGTGATGCGGTTCGATTTGTTTTTGGAACAAGATCCAACTTTCCCCCCACTTTTTTAATTCTCAAATTGTTTATTAGATGTTTACTGGTTGGGGTTAGAGAAGGGCTTTGGGTTGGGATCAGTTTATCTTATAAATGGAAGCAAATTGGCGTATTTTTTAGAAGAATCGTCTATGTCTATGAACTTTTTAGCACCTGAAACTAGCCATATAACGGCATTAAAAATCAAGGACTATATAATTTCTTCGCTATTATTGGCCCGTCATTATTTACGGTTGATAGTTGATAATCATAGTTACAGTGGGCCTGGCTTGTCAGGTTGAGTTGCCCGTAGCCGGAGGGTACGTCTGAGCCGACGTCTTGGTATATTATGGTTGATAGTTGCTGATCATGATTGTATTTATTGGTTGTATTTATATGATCCAGTATCCCTATGATCCTGTATCCCTATCTACTTCTCTACTACACATTACACCCAGTACCACGAAAGTTGCCATTTTCAGGCCAGTGTGAACGCCTGAGCAGGCGTCTGGTTTAATATGGGAGGCTCTTCCACGAAACTCTTTTTGCTCAAACCTAAGACTGATTATCTTTAAAAAAGTCTTAGTTACAGAGTGGCAAAATTGTGGAACAGCCTTTCAGATGAAACAAAAAACAAACTTTCTCTTGCTCCATTTAATTCATGTATACGACACCTAGCCAATTAATTAATTAATTAATTAATTAATTAATTAATTAATTAATTAATTACGTTAATTAAGAATCTTACATAGTACTAACAATAATTTAATATGTAAATAATTATATGCTAGTTGTATTTGTAAATGTATCGTAATTGTTGTTAACTGTAATGTAATGCATGACTATAATTTAATTGTATTAATTGTAATTTTTTTAACTATTTAAATCTACGCCCCCTTGGAAATCAGCTTTCGCTACCAACCTACACTTCTGTAAACATTGATTTCCACATCGACCATGTGGTGTCAGGGTCATCACAAGCTTCCATCCTATGAAATGGGGTATTCTTCAATCTTCAGCTCTGAAGAGCTGAATTTTGTTTCATCAAATTTATTATAATTTCTAAATGTAATCGTACGTGGGGGTTTTCTTGCAACTCTTGTTTGCCTTACAGTGTAAACAAGAGAGTGGTCGCTTATAATACTCAAATGCAACACCACTGTCTCGCCAATTTTTTCCACACTAGTTGTGTAAATATGATCGATCAGCGATTCGGATGTTTCAGTTATTTTAGTAGACGTTTCGATATAAGCTGGGTTTTCTGATATTGGAGCATTATAGATCCTTGTTTGTGACGTGTTTCGCTTCATATATCACAATTAAAATCACCGAGCATCTGCAGATATTCTCTATAGTGTTCAATCATTTGCAGTTGTTTACTTAAGTGTTCATAGAAATCTTCATCATTTGGGGGTCTATAAAATGAAGAAATCAATAGCGACTTACTTTTCGGGATAATCAATTCGAACCAGAGCGACTCCGTGCCATCGAATTCTAAATCTTGTCGACGTTTTAATTAAACCATATTTATTGTTTACATATGCAGCTACGCCGCCTCCATTCGCATGGTCTCTGTCATTCCTCAACAAAGAATATCCAGAGATTTCAATTTCTTCATCAGCAATGTTATCGTTTAACCACGTTTCACTTGTAGTAAGTTAGTACATCCAATGTTTTCTCGCTTACCATGCAAGACCCTCAGTTGATCAATTGCAGATCAAATTCCTCTGACATTAAGCCGATTTAAGGTGTACTATAACAATTCCACGTATGCGGGGGTTGCGAAATACCAACGGCATATGCTGTTTATTTGTAGGCCCTAGATTTAGCTAGAGCAATATCGTTTCGTTGAGGTAGGATAGTTGCAAATAAAACAGATCATGCAAGTTTCATAGATTGAACCACGGATAATGGCAATAGCAGGACGCGATTTCTCGAGTGTTCTATGTTGTTGTGTGCCTTTCTTGGTCCTTGGAGGTTGTTTAAAAGCGTGAGAAGATATTTCTCTGCCAACCATGCCTGTAGAAAGTAGGAAGTTATGGAGCGACGCTACCTCCAAAGTCTAAAGGGCCAACTCCAAACCAAAATATACACTTGAATAACTTGTGTAATTCAAAACGTATGAGTTGAAATATGAATTGTGGAGTTACTGGCAAACTCCAAAAATCGTTTGGAGCTAGGTATACTCCAAATTTGGCAGCTAACTGAGCTCAGCATCATTTAGGTGCTAAGCATCTAAGCCTGGAGTTACTGGCTAACTCCAAAAATCATTTGGAGCTAAGAATAACTCCAAAAATCATGAAAAAACTAGGCACCTAAGCCTTGAGTTACTGTCTAACTCCAAAAAGTATTGTGTAGCGAGGCAAGCCAGCCTAGCCGCTAGGTATGTATAAAGCTTGAAGTTACTTGCTGTGTTGCTAATTCCAAAAATCATTTGGAGCTTGTTATCTAAGCCCGGAGTTACTGTCTAACTAGAATAACTGCAAGAATGCACTCTCAGAATGCACTTCTATACTCGGCACACTTGGCATTGTGTTGTCGTTCAGAGGCTAAATTTTGATCTGCAGTTGCGGCAAATGCAGCGCAACTGCCGATCGTACCTGCTACCCTTGTCATGCTCTGTTGATCGCGTGTAAGACAGGCTCTGGGTACGAGAATGTGGCATAGTCTAGCTCCATTTAAAGATTGGCTACCTCCACAACAATAAAATCTACAGGTATGCTGCCAACAACTAAGAGCTTAGTTACGTTCTCTTCATTCTTATCTATGTGCTATTCACATTTAAAACACATAGATTCCTTCGTAAGTAAGAAAATAAATAAATAGGAAAAACACGACATACAGTAGGTATGTCAGGTATAATATGAGAATATATACATTTTAAGACCTAACCAGGAACGACTGCGAAAAATGCAGCACAAGGTCCTCTGGTAGGAATTGAACCTATGGCCC